TGGTGGCTAGAACGATGGGCTCAAATGCGTCATCAATTTTGGTGGAGCTCGATGGTGTTCCTATGCGTGAGGGCTTATTTTGGGTCAGACGGCTGTGGAATTTGACTCCGGGCAGTGGGGGTTCTCTCCGTACGAAGAGCGTGAGCGTGAAATTGACGAGGCCGTTGAGATTCTGAAATTCATACCCATCGTTCAGAGTTGCATTGGATTTTCTCTTCGTTCTTCCCCTTTCATGAAGATAGCTGAGGGAGCTTAGCAAAGCAGAAGTCTGGCGAGACTCTAGTATTCATGAAGATGACTGATGAACACACAGTACGACCATTAACATGAAATTTGCGCATCGATGTTTCTGTTTCTAGTACTACCCTCCAGATGAGTGCATTTCCCATCACCCAGCTGTACTCGTCGGGGCAACATCTACTATCCACTTTTTTCTGACATTCCTCTCACCTGTGACCTCACTTGACTTGGTGACTCGGGGTTTCATTGCCGGCGTCTCTGAACACATGTCGCTGACTGACAATCGTAAAACTATGTAAGTCAGGGGCCTCAGGAGATACTGGAGCAACCGCCAAACCCTGGTACATTTGATGGCATGTTTGCTGAATATTTCTCGAGAAGCAGGTCCGATCTCCTCACACGCTATGATGCAGTGATAAAGAAAGTATCCGCCTGTCTTACGGATTCCATATTCTCGATGTTTTTCTTATCGTGAGCTTCTCGTAATCAGCCTGCCCTGGCGCTCCGATGCAACCCTCCTGGCATCCATGACATCCATCCTATGCCGAGGTCTTGGTAACCACACAAGCGATAGCCATCTTCAGCCTGGTACCCCTTGCTGCCCCATATCCTCGGAAAAATCCCGGCACGTCCACAGTTGACATCGAGCTTATTTATGATCCTGCTCGTTCCTTCTGTGACGGCAAGCCAGCCCTCTATTTTGCAGCTATGAAGTTGTCCGTACGGCGCAGATGGCGGCCCTCATGACAACAATTTTTCACAATTTCCGCCAGATTACGGAGCGACTTTCTAACAGTGTTATAAATATCGATTCAAGGATGGTCATAATACGGAGAACGTCGTTCACAACGTCCGGTGAACGTGCACACATCTGACGAGAAATGCGAAGCCAAGGCCTCTCAGGAACCGGAGATTTATTCGTGCCCCACGACTCCATCGTGCCGCACATCAACTTCTCATGAGGTTCACAGTTCTTCTCGAGTCTGCGGAGATCATCATGCATTCTGGCTCAACCGTTTTCGCCTAAAGTAGGGCATCCGAGCAACACCTTTACGTTCACGCTGGAAGTCTCAGCCTATAAAACACCTGCCTGCTACTACTATGGCTTTGCCTCATTCCCTTCCACAAAATTCATCATGTTTACTTCCCGCTCTATCATGTTTGCGCTGCTCAGCTTCCTCGCTAGCGCCAATGCGTGCATAGATTGCCCAACCGCAATGAAGATCAACGGTAGTGTTGTGAAACTACAAGAGACTACCCCATACAGCACGCTCACACATTGCTTGTACGTCGCACCCACGCATCTTTATTGAAAAAAGTCACCGATAGGCTGGCAGTTACCTCGACAATGATACAGGAACGTCAGCATCCTGTATGTATTACACTGTAAGTGCTTTCTGGATATTGTGCAGCTCATTGTTGACATGCTAGCGCATTAGGCGAGTGGCAGCCTTCAAGTCGGGGTGCCGACTTGTCCGCATACAGTAGCTGTGAAGAATCACTGCTGAACGTGATGTGAAGAAGGTGGGGGAGACGAGATACCCAACAGGAGGAGCAGTGTTCGTTTGCAGACAGCCGGGTGTATGTCAGTACTTAGATCACCGTCTGTTACGAGAATTGCCAAATAGTCGCGTCCAATACCTTCAGTACTGCAACAAGGTCAGTACGGGTACCTCGAGGGAATTATCATCATTAGTTTCCAGCTTCCGGACTTACCCTCATGTTTGCTATGGCCAATTACTGCGCTGCGACGGCTCATGCGCGCCAACACTGTTGCCATTGCCCCGGATAATCTTTATAGTTGTGAGCAGACGAATTCCTGTCTGAGTTGAAAGCGTTAGAGGTGTGAGCAAAAGACAGGATCCCACTTACTTAGCAGTCGTAGACTTGGAGCAGGACTGAGATGTGCTTCTGTTGAGTCTGAATGTATGAGACGAGCCGGAGGAATTCGTGTCGCTGATAAGTCGATGTAGCTAACTCCTATACGAAGGGTAATACTCTGCGCAAATGTAGGATTTCGTGGTTTGGGCCCTTGAAAGCGTGGATGTAAGGGTATTCGAAGGTTCCACAGTTTTTTTAGGATTACCTTTTAGATATGTTGGAATAGGATTGCGACTTGGAGGAGATGCTGGAGACATAAAGTTCACGGCGGGCAGATTCTGCCGCTCACTTTCAAATATGTATCTTTGGCGTGCGTTAAGAGGCGATGTAGCATGTGCTACATTACGTGGCTTTAGACAGAAATTGTGTTCGACTTTTGCGACGCTTAGGACGTTCGTGTCGGACGTATTGTCATAACGTCAGATCACGCACGTCGTAAGCCTCGGTGACCGTTATGCAGACCAGATGGCAGGAAGACTCGAGGAAAACAGTAGTTAAAACGTTGACCGTGACGGTAAAACTCTTCCTACTAGGTGCCAAGGTATTCTCGCAGCCGCCCGACTGTAGATGTCGTGTTGTCGTGTTGTGACGCACGAGAGCGCAGTCTGGTTCTTAGCAATGCCAAGGGTATAAGCACTCTGATACCCTGCCACCATGAGATTGATCATTGCTACAGCCTGTTCACGAACATGAAGTGACTTACGACGGATCGCTTCGCTACAACCCTCCCATCGACAAGCTAGCAGTCATGCAAGTCATCGTCGCACAAGGAGGCACCGAGAGGCACCATAAGCTGAAAGGGCTAAGTATAGTGGTTACCATGGAGGGAGAGGGGACGGTGGTGTGGGCAGAGGGGGGCGAAGAGGCTGGGCATGAGGAAGGGGCAGGTGGTGGTGGTTGGTGCGGGGACTGAGGTGAAGTTTTCGGCGTTTGGGAGTGTGTTTAAGCTTTTTCGGGCGTTTGTGGAGGTTGCTTAGGCTTTGGGATGTTGGCATGGGTTCGATTTGAATTTTTAGAGGTTCTATAGCTGGCATGAGTGATGTTGAAGGGTCGTCCCCGTTGAAGAGGTTGCATCTGTTGATGACCATCCTTCTGGCGTTGGGTATAATCTCAGTCATGACAGAATGATGGTCATGCAGTGTGATAGTCGGGGGTGTGAGAGAGCAGAAAGGACTGAAAATGACCACCTCAGAGGACAATGGCATTTTAAACACAATGAACTCACCAGAGAAGGTACCCACGAAAGTAACCCATACACCCACCGTCTAATGCTGGTGTTTGGGTTTTAGCGGAAACGACTAATTTAATAGTTGGCGATTCACGTCATCGCCCACTATTACTTATTGGGAAGGTCAGATGTCTTCCTTACGTGGAGCTGCTCACGCAGTCACTTCTCGCGTACGTCGTTAGCTCATGGTGCTATCACTCCAGACATCCCTTCGATTCTTAAGTTGCGTGTGCATAAGATGTACATTGCAGCTGAAAGGTCTCGCCTTTCGCGTCCCAACCCGCTAGTGGTAGTTCTACAACGGAGGACTTTCCACCTTCCAAGGCGCGTTTTTCACACAGTTTGTGGCCATATCTTTCGAGGGCACCTTCTCGTTGCACAATTCATTCCTCACCTTCGGCAACTCCAGGAACTTGTTTCGGTCTTTCTCATATGCTACCTCTCCCAAATTTGTTCCCATTATAATTTTGCATACGGGAAAGTACTGCTTAGCGGTGCAATACGGTCATCACTTTTTCAACCTTGGCGAGCTTTCACCGTAGTCAAAGCTATGCGAGCCCTCAGCCGTTCCCGCCGATGCAACGCCTACTACCAACTTTTATCATTTGTTTTTCTGACGTTCGTTTCACTTGACGCTCCACTTGACTTGGCGAGTTTCGTTGCCGTCGTCGGTAAATCCATGCCGCAGACTAACAATCGCCAAACTATATAAGTCAGGACGCTAAGGAGACACTGGAGCAACTCTTAAATACTGGTACATCTGATGGCAAGTTCGCTGAATGTTTCCTGAAAAGCCGGTCCAATCTCCCCACTCACTTTGATGCAGTTATCAGGCATGTGTTCTTTTGTCGTACGTATTCCATACTCTCAACGTTTTTCTTATCGCGAGGTTCTCGGAATAATCCTACTTTGGCTCTCTGAGTCTTCCGATGCAACCCTCCTGGCTCCTACTAGTATGTCTTCAAACCTATTCCGAGGTTTTGGTGACCACACCCAAGCGATAGCCTTCTTCAGCCTGCCGCCCATATCCTCGGCAGAAAGCCCCGGCACGTCCACGATCGACATCAGCCTTATAAATCATTCTACTCATACCTTTCGTGACGGTAGTCAGACCTCGACTTTGCAGGTGCGAAGTTGTCCGGACAGCGGAGACGGCCCCGTATGACCATAGTTTTCACAATTGCCAACAGTGTTATCTACATTTTATGAGGACAGAACGTTTGCTTCCGCGGACTCAAATCGTGTGATTCCCATGTGCGCGCTCCACTTGAGCTCCATATTTCCCTTACGTTTGGTGCCACTTTCGCAATCTAGATCGGGCCTCGGCGGACTTACAAGCTCCACTTACACTTCCACCCCTATCAAGCGGCGCATATCTCATTGACCAGTACAGTAATACCGAGACATGCTGGATTCTTCTCAGTTTTGGTACACTGTCGTCTGTATGAATACTTACATCAGGAAAACAACCGGTCGCTTTTTTGCCTTATTTTACTTAATTTCTGAGGGAACAAACTTAAAACATCACTTTTTACACTTAATAGACTTTCTGAAAAGTGAATTCAGAGTGCTCAATTCACAAGTCACGACCATTCAAAAAAAGCGAGAAAAGTGCAATAAGTAGTAATAAAATGTAGTAGTACTAGAAGTACTAAGTCCTCGCCGTTTCGCGATTCGAACGTCGGCGCATCGATGTTTCCGTGGAAGAGGTAGGTCCATCAAGGCCAGCGCTGACCTCACCTTGAACGATGCGTTCAACCGATTCCTTTTCACAAGTAGACCCAGGATCCACCTTCTCCTGCGTGACCACCTCTGGGACCTTGACGCGGATAGCTTCCAGGTAACGAAGCGCTGTTTGCAGAACGCTGTCTGATGTACGAGAGCAACGAAGAACCTCGTGGACAAACCATTGGCGCAACGTCGCACCATAGGGCCTGATCGCTCGAACCGGGCGTCAGGGGGATCTCGGGCGAATGAAGGGAATACAAATTTGGGATGCATGGGGCGGGCGTGGGAGATGGCTGTGTTGTTGGAGATATGGGAGAGGGAAGTTGAGTATTACGACCGTGGAGTGAAATGCTGGGAAGAGATGCAAGAATGGAGTCAGTGGAGGGGGCAGCCACGGCTGGACGAGATGATGTCAAAAAAACGAAAGGGACGTCCTGAGGGTTCCAAAGGTAAAGCGTCGTAACAACTTGAAGGGCTCATGATGCAGGTGTGCCAAACATGCACACCACTCGTAGAAGGGTGGCCAAGCGCACCTGGAGCTGTCTTGTAGTAGTTTTGCGTCATTTTGAATGTATAAATGAGGGTGAACGTGACTTACCTTGGTGTAGAGGTCGTGCTCGTGGTTGGTGGTGGTACAGAAGCACCGCGCTATGGGAAAGCGGTGCTTGTTGTCTGAAAAAAGAAGTTGTCGGGAAACACCGATTATCAAGTGGCAAATATCAGTAAGTACCGATGATACACGTTCAGACCATCCACTCACCTATAAATCTATACATCGCGAACTAAATTGTGAAGAAGATGGGCCCTCAGGATCCTGTAAGTGACCTGTGTGTTGTGTAGATTGCGGATCACTAACATGATCAATAGATATTGGCCCAATGCTCGACTCTTTTGCCATCAACACCGCAGATCTATCGTGGACGAGGGCAAAGGTGGCCTGTTGTGGCGGATCGGCCAGACGTACCAGCGGATGTGGTGGATCAGCCAAGCGTGCCAGTGGATGAGGCGGTTTGGCAAGGTTCGGCGAGGGTGGGGTTGTGGAGGAGGCTAAGAGAGTTTCTGAGCCGTTGGAATCAAGCGTTGCTCGCATGCATCCATGGCGCGGTGTAATCCTCGAGCTGCTGAAGACTGAACAAGGTATGAGGCAC